CACACACACACACACACACACACACACACACACACACACACACACACACACACACACACACACACACACACACACACACACACACACACAGATAAAGGCAGCTCATGCTGCCTCACAGGACCTACCCGCCCTAGTTAGCTTTCACAATCCTGTATTCACGCTAGAGCTTAGCACTGAATTTCTCAGCATGATTCGAAACCTCATGATATGCTTCTGGATTCAGTTGCTTCTGCTAGGACTCATGTTTGTGAAAACTGTGCAGTTCGTAGGTCTGTGTCTGATGTATGCGCCTGGTACCACAGGAGTGGTCGTGGTTCTTGTGGCCATTGGCTCGAGGACGTAGCGGTGAGGGGGGCCTTAAGCCCTCAGCTAGAATCCCAAGGTCTAGCGCGTCCTTCTCCCCACTCCATTCTATATCAAGATATATCCACATCCAGAGTCCTCTTCCTCTTGTTTGGTATTCCCTCAGTCTGTACTGCTCGTGCTACCCGGCGTCCCAGACAGGCGCAGTGGAGCTCGTAGGAAAAACAGCCACTGATCGTCGATCGCTGTCTGCTGTCTGTGGGAGTTCAAGGGGGTACAGCGGCTGGGAGTACAACGGGACCGCATCACGACTGTGAAGCACACGCGAAGCACGACTGTGAAGCACAATCGCACGATACGTCTTGTGGCAACTTCGTATCGGGACGGGTTCCGGGAGAGACGGAGGAGGAGGATCAGCACAGCGCACCCGAGCGGCACCTGGTGGCTGGCATCCCGGGGAACTGGGGCCACCGAGCCTGGTGGCTGGCATTCCGGGGAACTGGGGCCAAAAGGCGCTGGCGTTGGTTCTTGGGTTAGTGAGTGTGCACTGTGGTGTGTACTGTACGCGTGGAAACACACAGCACTATTTGTACCATAGAGATTGTGGCGATAGTGTGCAGCAACTTTTCCAATTCATCATGTACGTGAAAAATGTAGTGAATGTGGTACTTGGAGGCGAGTCTGTTCACGACGACTGGGTTGATGAGCTTACCGTCGCGAAGTTGTTGGCGAGAGTATCCCCAGAGGCTGTGTTCCGGGGGGTCCGGCGATTCCTCGTCCAGCATGGCCTTCGGTGCCCTGATGCTGACCCACGGACGCTCTCTCGAGCAGTGTTTGGGTGGGCAGCGGAGGGCTTCCCAGGTGGATTCAAATATGGTAGTTTACGCCAGCTGTATGGTTTGATCTTGGCCTGGCTGTTTCCTCCGAGTTTGGCTACATACCGACGTTGTGCCCGAACTTGGGCGCTTGCTGCAAATTTCGCGCACTGCCTGAGCCTGCACGAGATGGCCCGGAAGTATGGGCAGCGCGGGTTTCTGAGAGTCCTACTCCGATGTGTATCCCCAGGTGTCCAAAGAGCTATTCTGCTTGGCGACATGAATGTAGATGTGTGGAAGAATTACATGGCTATGCTGTATAGGTCCATTTGGTGTACAGAAACGTGTGATCAACAGTCAATTGTTTATGTATGTTGGATGTCTCCTTGTCCCATGTGGTATGTAAGAAAAGCGAGCGTGGTGAGAAAACACCAAAACGGAGTGGTCGAGAGTGGCACTGTAGCACGGTATGTGGAGCACGTCACGGGCTTCATACGGCACAATCAGCATGCACATGCATATGCGCGGTACCGTGTGTGGAGCCAGTACTACTCGTGCGACTTTCGTAGTTTAGTGGTATTTTGGGATAGTGAGCAGTCAGCGTTCGAACTTGAGGACTGTGTCATACGGCAGCTACAAGCACCTTTACAGCAGCAACATCATTATTGTCGTGATCTCCGAGTGGATCGGCGTCGGCCC